TTGTTTGATTTTGTTGCGTCTTTGAATTTGGTTCGGCGCTGTTTCGATTGGTTTTATATGATTGGCTTCTTGCTTACTGTACTGACTTCGGCCTTTGCTTTTCGTGCTGCCATGCGCCGCTGGTTGCCTGCAAAGACATTTTTCCTGCAGATGTAGCCTTGAGTCAGGCAGTGGAAGACGGAGGGCAGTGCCCAGCACTGCGTAACAGCAGAGAAGAGGTGAGTAAGCTTGAGACAATCATCATGATCCTTTGCATGGTTGTTATAGCGGCTATAGCGTGATTGGAGGAGGTGTTCTTTCGCGAGTGCTCTGGAAGTTGCGCCAAGAGTTTTCACGGTTCTGCAACACATGGGAATACTTGAGGCACGCAACGAGATTGAACAGTGTGTGGTGAAATTGCAGATGAAGGAAGCGGAAGCGATCCTGAATACATCGATGGAACAGTTATTTTACCGCGCTATACGTAATCCAACTGTGGATTGGAACCACACAAGATGGATGAATTGGGCGTTGCTGTTCGATGTCGTTTGCCGCCCCACGCAAGAAACTGCACGAAAGAGGACAACTACATGTGCGCGTCAGAATGGTGAGGTTAGAGAAAGAAGAGCAAGAAAAAACAATTGAAAGAGAAACAGCAAGAGGTTCCAGAGATTCAGAGCCAGCGCAAAACCAGAGAGAAGGTCATTTGAGAGTGTAGCAGCATTCTTGGGGCGTGAAAGAGATGAAGAGCAAGGAGAAGAGACTGCGTCAAACGAGACATTTGTGCCATCAGAAGCTCCCCGGACTATGGAAATCTAAAACGCAGTTGGAACTACTCGTAGGACTGCCGGAACCTGACTATAGTATGAAAGGATATGATGACTACAGCTTCAACTTGACGTGTGAAGGCTTTTGTTTTGAAGTCTACACCGTGGAGAAACTACGGGCTTTCAGACACTGACAGATGAGCAGGCTGATCCAGATCATGACACAATCAATGATGCAATTGAGACGTTCGTGCAGTGTTTCAAAAAGTGCACCAAAAGGAGGGCCAGTAGCAAGAAAGCGAGTGATCAATTGCATCTCGACAATGAGACAATATGTTCATCGCATTAGAGAAGGTCATGCAGATCAGAAAATTCCATAAGAAGATTCCAGGTGGCCAGACGGTTGGATTAGTGTGAACCATGGACCGTATGGCGTTCCAGGAGGAAGTGACATTGAAGTCGAAAGACAAAAGTGATCGAAGAGCAAGAAACTTGAGTGGCGCAACAAGCAGATCAGAAGACTATGAAGTTGAAAACCGAGCGAGCGCAGACCGCAGTGATCGCAAAGGAGTGAAAGGTAAAGGAAGGCCAAAAGTAAGAAAAGGTGGAAAGCAAAAGAGCAACGATGCAGGCTCGAAATGCAAGAGTTCAAGAACAGAGCAGAGTGGGCCTTACTCCACAGGCCGAGCAAAGACGAAAGATTGCAAGAAGGGCCCGTGTGAGAAAGGTGGAAAGTCGAAAGGCAAGAACAAACCCTGGAAGTTGAGAAATTGATTTTGAATGGAATGGTGTTTAAAGCACTGCAATGCAAGGAAATTTGTCCGAGTAGGCGTACGTAGTTGAAGGGGTCATTTGTGGCTAACACGTGACATGAAGGCAGGGTGTAAAGCAATCACCATGCACACCCATGTCTCTACACTTGAGGTTCACATGCCACCTTAACACAGGCTCAAAATTCAGGGAAAAAGGAGCGTTCCATTGCGTTTCTGAGTTCCTTCATTTTTTTGGTTCTTGGTGTCCTCCTTTTGTCCTCCTGGTTTATTTCTGTTGTTTTCTTTGTGTCCTTCTCTTGATTTCTTGGTGTCATGGGGTTCTCTTACGAAAAACACTGGCCACAGTCCCTGGCCGCGCCTTTAAGCCTTGTGTCCGGGTGTAGCGCTCTTTTTGTCCAGCCCTGCTGTCCCCCCTCTTGTCCTCTTGGTGTCCTCCTGCTGTTTTTGCCCGCGCTGGCAAACCCTGTGTTCCCCCCTAAGTTTACGTTGTCATTGTCCTGTCCAGGCTTTCTTTGTTCTGTTGGCCTGGCCGCTTTGTCCGGATGCAACAGAGATGCACTGTTTCGAATCAGGTATCATCCTCGGATTTTCTCATGACGTATATATAATATATATACCTTCGTTTTTCGCACGTGAGTCAGGCAGCAAGAATTGTTATTTTCACTCATGTTTTGTTTACGTGCCTTTCCGGAGGCTATAGACAGACGTTCCCACCAACACTAGAATTTCTCAGGAGTTGACGCTTAAACATGTCATTGCTGACACTGTTTGGGGTTTATGCTGGCCTAACGTTGTTCCTTCGTTGTTTCTTCTTGTTTACTTTTCGCAGGATCTTGTACTTTAAAGACTGTCGGACAGATCCCGCGAGTTCCTGTGGCCATTTTGTAGGTTGTGAATGAATTTTTACGTAGTTAAACAATTCCACTTTCTCAAACAAACACGCAAACAGTCTCAGTATAATCATCATTCAAGGAAGGCTTCCATGAAATGCCATGTCGGTTTGGATTCTGGGAAGTTGAGAGGTGACACGCCATTGAATTTACTTTGAAGAGACGAGAGGTGACGGGTCAATGGGGTCAAGCCATCTTTGGCTCAAGGTTCTATTTCAGGCCTGTCCTTCCATGTATTCGTGCCCCGATGGCATTGTTGAAGTGACTTGGGTTGCACTCAAAAAACAACTGCCGCCGCTGAGTGAGATGGTGTCCCTCTGAGGTCACTGTTGCTGCACTTTGTCGCAGCCCAATGTTACAAGATCATGTGCCTCAGCAGCAAAAGAACCGGTCGAGACTAGTGTTTCGACGGATTACCGCTGCGGGTTATTTGGGCGAAGTTGTTTGTGGTGTCCGTGACATGCAACATGTTAGTTAATAGCTTCTACAGTGCACGTTCTTTTACTTTCGCCCTTGTTTTTTTGTTGCCACAAACAGAATCACGGAAGTTTGTAGGAAGAATGACAGAAACAACTTTGCAAGCAAACATATCGGTATATTATACTGTTTATGACAGTTTATGATGGTTTATGTATTGTTTCAAATATGCAAATATGTACACATGCATATGTTATATACACATGTATTCATTTCTCTGAATTATTAGCAACATAATCTACGCTGGCTTGGTAAATGATAGAATCAGAGAAGTGACCTTCGTTCGGGAAGGGATCTCGTTTCGTTCAACAGTTCGGTCGACGTTGCTTTTAAGGCTTTTTTGGTCTGTCGCGAGCTGAGAAATGGTCATTTTTGCTTGAATCAGAGAGAATGTCAGCAGCTTCACACGTGGTTGGAACAAAAAACAACCGTTGGTATGTTTCGGTTGGCATCTTTTTGGTGTGCAGGGATTATGAGATATAGAGACAGGGAAAGCAAATTGACATTTGGTGGATTTAGTCGTAAGCATGTGTTGTTGGTGTTGGCTGAGCCTCAACTTGTTTGGTGTTGGGGCTGCGCAAGGTTTGTTGTTTGGCATGGGGAAATGCAGGCTAACGAAGAATCGGAGTCCTGCCGGACACACCCCAGTCCGCGGACCGCTTGGATGGTCCGATCGGTCGCGCAGGTGGACTCTGATGAGCGCACCATTGACTTGGTCAAGCGGAACGTGGCTCACGCGCGGGTGCAGGGAGGCCGCGATTGCTGCGACGTCATGCTCCTCGCCAGAGTGGAGTGGGGAGCGCGGATTTGGTGTGTGAGCACGGAGATGTGTCAGCACGACAAGTGCGAACACTATGTATTTGAATCTCTGCAGTTTGGTCATGTCAATGATTCCATGAATCTTTGCAGTTTGGTCACGCTTCTGATCGGGTTTCAGTGTTGGCTTGAGGAACCTGGGTGACAGGACTCACCAGTTGCAGTAAAGTTAGGCGGAAGAATGAATCACCATAGAACTTGACAAACCTCTTTCCTCTACCAACATTTCTTCAATCGGTTTTCCTGACTACACGACTTGCCGCATGTTTGTGTCACCATGGCATACCATGGCCATGTTTTCTTGGGATACCCAGAACGTGACAGCTCCAGATGCTGCGATGCGCTTCGGCACACGACAAATCGTCTCACGGCGAATCCTCTCACCGATATGTTGCATTTGCTTGAGGTTAGCACACTACCAAGGCAGGGGACGAGTTCCACATGCGAAGAGAGACACGAAACTGTAGATGTTGCCGACTCCATGTTGCTGTGACAAGGAGTTTGAACCAGCCAGGTCACTGCTTAGTGGGTACAGGATGCTTGCATCGCGATGCCTCTGCGCAGAAGCTGAGCTTTCTCAGCTTTCGCGTTTCGTCTCCGCCCCCTTTTTCGCGAGGGTCTCCCTGCTTGGGGAAGGAACGCAAAGTCAGTCATGCCAGAGTCCCAGACCGGAGTGACTCCCCCCCCATTGGATCTGCGATGAACTGGGTTTTGTTGAAAGGAACTCTTTCAGGTTCCACCCACGAACGCCCGTGGCGATCCTCGTCTTGATACGTACCCTCCGTGACTCGTCTCCCGGGTGCTGCTGGGATGGGATGACTGCGCCTGCGCAGGTGGACCCAAAGACTGGGGCTTTGACTCTTGGTACGAATGGATCGGGCAATATGAGAACACATATATAATCCTATTATAGAATATGAGCATTTTGTTGGCAGCCACAGGCAAATATCGTGATATATTCCGCACTTTGTTTCATCTTTTTAGTACAATGTCTCTGACCAACGGAGTCAATCTGCTTCCACTTCAAGATCGCTTCCACTCCAAGGCGGCATTTGGTTTTGCATGGCTGAAGCCCCAAGACTTGAACAGTGCTCGTCTTGTTCATGCTGCGTCATGATCCACCAAACCGTTCGTTGGTACCGCGTCGCCGCATCGCACGGCGGTGGACATCCGGTCCGATCAAAGCTGAGGAGTGGTACAACAATCAAGTGAAGTATACACTGGTCAGTCCTGGCTACAAATACAACTTGCTCGTTGGCATCAAAGGGGGGGCGGTCTTCGCGTCGGCCTCGCGCCCGATGGGGGCCGTCGGGCCACTTGACGCCGCTGTGAAGAGGAAGGAGGGCCTGCTCCTGCTCAGGAGCTTTTTTCCTAGAAGTCCGTTCAAAAATTCTGGTGTGTCTGAGGCTGAAGAAAGCCTACAAGCAGGCTATGTCCAAGTGGGAAGATGACTACGAGTCACCCGGCGGCAGCAGTCGTGCAGATGGTTGGCCCGGCCAGCATGGGGCTCATAAGAGTACGTCGTAGTTGAGAAAATGCCAAAGAAATGGTTCAACACCGAAAAACCACGACATTTCATAGAGTAGTCACTCTAAAAATGGATCCCATGTTTGATCCCAATGCGACTATGACCCTGTGGTCCCCCAAACCCAAACAGTGCTGTTTCGGGGGTGCTGGGGTTTGATACATCTCGGCCGGGAGCACCCAGGTACATCTGGGCTTTGGACAGCGATATTGACTTCACAGGCCTCCGATGAGACTGGTCATCTCGTTGAGGGAATTCTAGACGTGACTCTGGCGAATCCAGACGTTGGATTCAAGAAGTTTGGATCTCAGAAGAATGGAATTCGAACTACCCCTAGACAAGAGGGACGTGACAGGTGACAGGTGACATTCTACTCGGACCTTCAAGGGGGATATATATGGTGTTTTGATGGGATTTGGAAGCGGAAGGAACTGGTTCAAAAGGCACTTACTTGGTTTACCTTCTGCAGCACACCGGCACACCTGTCATTTTCTTTGCCCCTGTTGTTGAGCACTTGAGAGCTGACTTCTTTGGATAGAGAGCTGACGACTTGAGATGGAGTGATGGGGCACATTCTGCGGTTTGGAGAGAACTCAAGCATCATTTGAGAAAAACACCGAGGACAGTACCCGAGGAATGGCGTATGTTGTAAGTTTTGTGGTTCTGCTGCTGCAAGGGGGCAGGATTCGAGAACAGCGAGTGAGGAATCTCAGTGCAGGAGACATGTCAACCTTCCTTTGTTTTCTTCACCAAATTCTTGACATCAAGCCTGAAGCAAGCATCTCAGCTCCTGTTTCCCTCCTGGTTCCGTCCGTGTCTCGCACCGACACCGAGACGAGGGTTGCCTCTCGTCAGACAAAAACAAGCCCACCGAGGGGTGGGAAGAAGCGGCCGAACGAGCCACGGTCTGTTCAGGTGCGGATCTCATCACCCTCTTCTCCTTGGCCAGAGCCTCCGGTTCGCTCATTGTGGGACCCACCTTCGCAGGCGAGGGTTTGAGGGCGGGTTTTGGGCTGGGTGAAGAGTCCCCAGGGAAAGATCTGTGGGGTCAAGGGAGGCTCTCCTCAACATCTCCTTGGGCCGAAGATTAGAAGCGAGGCAGCTACGAGTCGAGCGGCCGGGTTGAGAGAGATGGGAGCGCCCCATGGAGTCATGGTGGCCCTTCAGCCGGCCCCAAGGGGCCGAACGTTTCCAGGCACTCAATCATGGCTCACCTATACCATGAGCGCCTGGGTGGCACCAGGAAGCAGATCGCCCCCGGCGAACGGCAAGGACCGGGTGGGATGGTGGGGTAGACCCGGTGTGAGGCTGAGGGCGGCACCTGCTTCGCGCGGGGGGTGGGACATTTGGGGTCAAAGGTAGGGGTCCGGTCACCGTGTCAAGCCATAAAAGGAGTTGCGTTGGGCATGGAGTAACCTTCCGACCATTTGCGGGGTTTGCGCGGAGAAAGAGAGTCATGACGTCGTTTTCCCTAGCCCTAGCCCATGCGGACACCATCGCAAGGCCCCCGTGCACGCCCAATGGGTATGTCAGAATGGCTGGCCGCCATCGTGGCGGGTGTCCTTTCTGCTGAGGTATGTCGGAAGTCACCGCGCATGGCTCTCTAGTACGGCGTGACCAAAGCGATTTTCAGAGCAAGATCAATGTGGCTCGGTGCTGTGACGCCAGGACCGTGCTGTGACGCCAGGACCCACAAGGGGTACTCTTAATGAACACTCCTTAAGTCCTTAACTTCTAAGGGGCTATGACACCCCTTTTCAGGGGCACCGGAAGATGGGTGTGAGCAACACCCGGTTTTTGAGAGGAAGAGGCCCCACGGAGCGGACGAGAGACCGGTGGCGGTTTGGAGCGAGACCATCACAAGAGTCCACACTGTGAGGTCTTGGGGAAGCCCGATCCCCGCTGCAAGCTGCGGCACACGGACTTCGTGGAGATGACGGCGCCGCTCTTGTCCAACAAGGTGCGGAGAGCGGGGAGACGCCGCTTCCTGCAGCGCAGGAGCGGGAGCGGACGCCATCCGTGATGTCCCAAAAGCGAGCCAAAGGGATGGTATAACTTAAGACGTGTCTGCAAGTGGTGGTCCGGTTAGGGCGTTTGGTTACCGCTTGCTGCTTTCACCAACCTCTGATCCGGCTCGGGGTGGTTCCACCGGTCGATCCGGCTCGGTCTTGGCCGTTCCGGACGGTGGTTTTTCACACGAAAAACGGTGAGGACACGAGAGAATGAGGGGCCAGACACATCCGAATGGCGCTCAAAGCAAGCACTTGGGTGTGTTTGGATGTCCAGAATGTCCAGAAATGGTGGGCTTCCGTCGGTCTTTTTGGAATGTCTTTTTTTGCCGCTCAGTCGGTGACCGCAGTGACCGCAGTCGCAGTTCACATGGCGAAACTGTGCACTGGTCGGTCTCGCTTGGTAGGTCCTGGCGCTCATCTTGACGCTCGGAAGAGAAGGGCAGAACGGGAAGAGAGCTCAGGGACATCCTCCGGGCAGGGGGGCCTTAGCTCGGTATGAAAACTGAGTTTCAGGCTGTTTGGGATGTTTGAGCTGTTTTTGGGTCTTATGGAGGAGAATGCTTGGACCATTCGGACGCATTCGGACTAGGTGGGGGCGCACTATTCATCCACCGACCTGACCTGACCCGTTCGGCTCGACATGACCCGTCGGCCACGCGTTCGGCTTGTTAGGCGTCGGATTACTGCAGGTCCAGGAAAGCCGGGGGGGGCTGGCCCGTTCTGCGGATTCGGAGTGGCTGGGCCTCCGCACTGCAGTCCTCGGTGCAACTGTATGTGGCCGCGCCAAGCTGGGTTTGAACCAGGAAGAAGGATCACTTCGCCTGCAGTCCTCGCCCCTGACAAAAGGATGGTGTCATGATTGCTAGATCATTTTCCATCCGGGGTTTGCAAGGTTCCCAAGTCCTTGGCTCACTGCATCATGAGTTCGTCCAGGAAAGATTGCGTGGATTGCGTGCACGACAAGGCTGAGTGGGGCCTTGACCGAGTCTGGTGCAAGCTGGCGCAGAAGCTCTTGTGACTTGGCTTCCTCCATCGGGGAGGAGAGAGAGGAGCCTCGGTTCCTGGGGCTCGCAGAACTTTCTTCGCCCAGCAGAAGCTAGGTCAGAGACGTGGCAACACATCACCCGGAGGTCTTGAGGTTTTAGAATTGGTGATAAGGTCACTAGGTTGGTCTATGTCTGGGGCCTTTCTGATCTTCATTTGATGGAGGCTGACGTCGAGTTTTTGGGTCAAAGATGTGTTGAGGACTTCGGCTCGCTTGTGGTTTCCCTCTCAGCCATCTTCCGGGAGTGTAGCCGCGTAGCCGGCTCCGAGAGAACTGAGGGCTCAAAGCTCAAAGCCCTGTGCTCTCCTGGATGCCTCGCCTGTGCAGCACTTGGATTGGAAGAAGGTGCGGCCTCAGCGGGTGATTGCAGCAAAATCAGCTATTCGATGTCTTTTTCCATTACTGTACTGTACCATATATACCACAAAGTCTGTTTTGCCGGAAGCCAGATACCGGATGAAAGCAAACGTCTGGTCCATTGCATTCTTGCATTCGTTCGTGGTCCTCTGGTCCATGAGGGGTCCAACTGGGGTCCAACTACCTGAAGTGAGACAGGAGCCCGTTGGGTACATGGTACATGATCCGCTTCTTGTGATCACGGGGTTCCTGCTGTTCCTTTCGGAGAGGACGTGTATTTGACTTGCTGATTGCCACACTTGTATTAAAGGAGTGTGGTACTTTCATTGGCCACAACTTCTAGACGCCCCGGGTCTTAGAGTCTTCCGGTTCCCCTTCCCCGGACCAGAACCATGTTTGCTGGGTGGGCAACCTCCCCCTCGACCAAACCAGTTCCTGGCGTCCGAGCACGCGTCGTTTCCAGCGCTGGACCTGCGCTGGGCCGCCCTCGTGTGTCGAAACTAGTTCACAGTTAACGTCATGGCAACTAGATCAAGTTTCAGGGTATCTTGTCTTGAAACCAATGTCTTGTTTCTCTTCTGTTCTTCTGTTAAACCCTTGGACTCAAACCCAACGAACCAGCAGCTGCCAGCTGCCTGTCGAGGAGCAGGCACGAATCTGATTGTTGTTTTTTTTTCCCAACAAAATCCACAAAAGTCCTGCCAATTGAGAAGCCGATGTAACCGATGTATATAGTCCACCCGAACTGGGCCATTCGGGGTAAACACCCAACGGAGGGACCCAATGAACAGACGGTCGCGAAGTAGTTGAGGTCTCTCGCTGTGCGACCTTTCATGGTTCGCGGAGCTATACCTTTCCTTTCAGGGTGTCCTACAATAGTGTCTCACAAGTGTCTCGCACAAAAGAGTGTCCTGCACGTGTGCGACCCACATATGTGTGGCACAAGAGTGTCGACCAGGTCGAAGTGTCCAGCAAGAGTGTCGCACATGTGTGTGGCGAAGGTTGTCGCACAAGAGTGTTGCACAAACGTGTTTTGCCAAAGTGTCCTAGAAGAGTGTCGCCCAGTGTCACCCCAGAATGTCCTTCAGGAGTGTCGTGGGCAAGATCTAGCCAGAGTGTCAAACCACGGTTTGGCTGTTTGATGCTATTTTGATCCTTTTTGTGTCCCATGTGGCGCGCATGTGTGCCTTTTGGGGCCAACCGTGGGTTTCTTCACCGGCGAAAACAGCCGTGAACCGCGTTCCTCGCGAAGGCGGTGGTGACCCCCGACTTCAAGGCCTCCGAGCTGGCCGTGAAGTCCGAATACCCGGAGTACTGGCGGCTTGGGCTCCATCCGAGCGAGCGAGCCCGGGGAACCGGGGGGTGAACCGGGGGGGTGGTTGGTTGGATGTCATCTCAGTTCGGTACCTTTAATAGGTACTGGGTGGTGCCGTGGTTTCCGGGAACTGGTCGGAACAGGTCGCTTCGGATTGAGGTGCTGCGAGGGGTTCCAGTTCTTCCAATTGCAGAACTGGCGACCCGAAAGAAAGACTAAGCGATCACTGAAGACCTCTAATTGCCATCCTGTGTTTTGTGCGGGCAGGGAGAAGGTGCATCCCTCTCTCTCTCTCTCACTCTTCTTTATTTTGTTTTCTTTCTTTCTCTGTTTCCTTTTGGATGAGATTGGATGAGCATCCATTTTGCGCCTGCCGAGGAACTACAAGCAGACCTCTCATTGGATTATCGCCCCCCAAACCCATTGGTTGGGACCAGTCTCCATACTGATGAGGCCCACCTGGTGGTGGTCTAGTGTTGAACCCCACACACACCGGGCACGTGGATTGCGCGCGCGTGTTTCGCGCGAAACACGCCACAGCTGAGGTCAGATGTGCGGAACATCGACTGTGTCGCTTGGAGTGTTTGGGTCAGGGCTGATCATCAGGGGACCCCACTAGTTCAAGGCAAATGCAGAGGTCCTCCAAAACTGCACTCAAGTCTTTTCTTCATTTATGCCTGTTTGGTTGGCTTTGGTCTGATTCCAGGCTTGAAAGAAAGCCCAAGCAGCCTGCCGGAGCGTCGCGAAAGCTTTGTTATTGAGCGGTGTAACCTGAAATTGCTGGGTAGGGAAGAATATAGACAATAAACATGACCACGCCAAGGCAAGGGTTTTTGGTCTACTTTTGCATTCTTGCACTGCAGATACAGACACAAACAACCATAATATACCATAATATACATATATATATATATATAGATTTTGGATGAACGTCTTCCACTTCTTTCCTCTCTGATGGCCATCCTATCACTTCTACAACGAATTGGTGCCAGGTGAACGATTTCCGAGAAGCAGCGCTGGTGGATGCTCAGACATTGATGGATATCCTACCAGTCCAACCAGAAGCCATGAACCATTCGGTGCACTAGATTTGTTGCCCTCGAGCAGCAGTTGAAATTGGCGACCCGGGCTTACACCGAGCAAAGTCCGTTGCCCCTGGACTGCCTGGTCATGGTATACAAGGTGCCAAGGTGCCTTCTTGTCATCTTAAAACGCATCTCTGATTTCCATTGATTGGACACCTGCGTTGACCTCACCAGACTCCGACTCCGCAGACCGCGCGGCGACCGGACGGCGGTCCGCCCGGGGGCGCCCGAAGCGGCGAGAACGCCTCGAAGGGGCGACGCCGGCGACGGCGAGGACGCGCCGAACAGAAAGAGGGTCGGAGCGTTTTGGGTCGCTCGAGTTGGGTCGTGGCGTGGGGAGAAGCGCCGCGAACGTGAAGAAGAAGAAGATATTGACATATCCAGAAAACTGTAGAGGTTTTTGGAGGTGTTTTCGGTGTTTCAAACCGGGTTCTTTCTGGGGGGAAGCGAGTTGATGCGGCGTTTTGATCCCCGGATGTCATGCCTCCATGTGCCACCCAGTCCGAACAAATGATATCCCGTGTCACAGCAGGTGGGGTTCGAGCTTCTAATATTTCTGATAGACGTGGCTCAAGGAAATACCTGGTGGCTTGAGCAGCCGGCCTGTGGTATTTGCAGTGTTTTACTTAAGATCAGCGGGCCCGGAACAAGCTAGACTAACTGAAAGGGAGTTTGCTTGAAGCTAATGGTTCTGTTCATCGCAATGTTGGACGATTTGCCGTTAGATCTTCACAGCAGCCTAGTCAGTGCTCAGTACATTTTCTTGGAAGTGAGTCGCAGCTGGACCCCACTTTTCGGGGAACCTGTGGCACAAGGCCAACAGGAGATGGGCTGTTCCTCGAGCATCTCAGCCTTATTTGGCTGTCAACATGTCAGCTGAAACGGGAACTAGACGTGTCTAAAAAGATCAATTTGACGAGGACCTTTCCAGTGATCTTTGTAGGACAGGTCCCCTTATGCATTGCCAATGCATCCGTCTCGACGACTTGATCTGCGAGAACTGTTTACCGAGGCACTGCGGTCGAAGTGAAGACGACGCAGTCCTTGGAAAAGACACGAAAGACGACCGGAGTTGCTTGGTTCAGACGACCGGCTTCGGAGGATCGGTGCGGATCGGTCGAGAAAAACACGGTCCGTGCCTGAACCGGCCGGGGTGTGTGGGATTATATATACCTAGAACCTGAGAGACCTCTATTTTTGACCATCCACCACTCAAAACCTGATCTTTTCCTATCAAAACAAAGGTCAAATGGGTTCTAGGTATATATATATATATACACACACATGATTATACATGGATACATATCTTCTGTGGTTTTTAACTTGTAAACAGGACCCCTTCTGGGCGTGTACTGTGAAGCAATCTGCACGTTTTGGAGGGAACCAGGAACCCCCAAAGACCCTGGATGGATTTATATATAGATGGAACCTGGTTGAAAACAAGCACAAAGAGGTCCCAGGTCTCTCATTCCCGTTCCCCTCTTTTTGGAGTCCAAAGAGATGAATGATGAAAGGGTTGCTTTTCCCACCACGGCCGCGGCGCTGGGGTCTTCCCAGCCAGGTAAGCCTCTCGATGATGTCGACAGGGATTTCGCCGGAGACGCAGGGGGAGAGGATGGACGGTCAGATGAGATTCGCTTCAGGCAGGAAAAAGGAGGTGACGAGAACCGACGGAATAGGTCTTGAAAGAGGATCTCCAGTTTGCGGTCCTATACCAGCACGGTAGCACACTGAAGTGAGAGGTAGATCGGTGTCAGAAGGGCTTAAATTTGTTGATCTTCACCAGATCAAGATTGTTTGGCAGGCGTGGTAGAGAAATTGTGGCACGCAGAGGGGATTTGCAGCAAGAGCAAAAAAGTCGCTGGAAGCATCATGGTCTGTGCCATTCTGGAGCATCCCTCAGCAAGCGACCATGCACATCCCCTGAATGCTTTGACCTGAACGCTTTCTCCCAGTCGCAATTTTGCTTCTTCCACTAGAGGTGCTCAATGGTGGAGCGCGGATGCCAAGAGGGCCCACACGCAGTGCCATGCATGTTGAATGGTTGCAACAATAGACCAAGGAGATTGACCAGTGCCAGTGTTCCGATCCTCCATCTTCAGGGAGTTAGCACTGTTGTCATTTCAACATTAACAATTGCCACTCTTGGAGAAAGTATGGGGAGACGCAAGGCGGGGGACAGCGGCATCCTGAGCCTTTCTAAAAAAGCCCTTCGAGCAGATGACAGGAACCGTCAGACAGGAACGCATCAGCCAGGAACCCCCTGCTTGGAGAAGTTGGATGGACAGCGAGTTCCACGCCCTGGAAAGGAATTTAGAGTTCTTTTCGTGGAAAGAAGGGGGATCACCAGTCGGGACCGCTCCACAAGCTTTCAGGGAAGCTCCACTAAAAAGTGGTGCAAGCTTTCAGTGAGCCGCGTACTCTACAGATCTCTACAGTGAGCCACGTTAGGTGTTTGTGATGCTCGCCGGGCTCGTGGATGGCCTGGCAGGGCTTTGATGTGATGGGGTGGGGTTCTGACCTGAAATTCATATACCGTATATACCTCTGAACTGAGGCTGTTGTGGCGGGGGGTTGTTTGTTTGAAGTCGAAACTCGGACAGAAGTTTGTCGGCTTGAATGCCGTGTTGTATTGTTCCCTTAGAGTGGCCCTTAAGCAGAATGCCCTTTTGGAAAGAATATTGGATCAATTGGATGCAGATCTTTTTGTTGATTGGCTGACGACGGTGGTGCTCACAAACATCTACTGGGGTGGAGACTCCAGTGACAGTCAGTAAGGGAGATCCAATAACTGTCAGCAAGTCTCGTGTGGCAATGTTCTGCAATCTTGGAGACACATCACATTGAGAGCTTGACAGCATTGAGTTTACTGGAAAGGACCACAGGCCACCTTGTGGAGCAACCGTCAATTTGCAGCACTGAGCCGTTTCATGCGGAAGTCTTGATGGGCCTGGTGGCCAGGTGGCTAGCTGGCTAGGAGGCATATTTTTGTAGCAAGCTGTGGCTACCCGAGCTTACTTGATTCTGGCTGTTCCGTGGAAGTTGTCGATCTATCTGCTTCTGTCACCAAGGCTCAAGGGCGGTGAGACGCGACCGCGTGTCGCCCCTGAGTTTTTCTCCCCTTGCAGCCAGGTGGGGCGAAGCTGTGGAAAACGGGTGGTCGTGGTGTTGGAAGGTGGCAACAGGTGGAGTAAAGCCGTATTTTTTTCAGGGCTTGCAGTGTGGAAAACGCCGGCTTCACCATGCGATTGGACGTTTCATCTTTGAACTTGATTCATCCTCCGTCTTTCTTGGAGTTAGAGCGAAAGGAGGTTGTTCAAGAAGTTGTGCTTGCAGCTCGGGGCCCTTGGAAACCGTGGCTTTTCGGCGTTTCTCGAGAAGGACAGTGGTCCTGCGGTGCGAAAGATGCAGGCGGGCCGGGAGGTGTGACGGAAGGGCAACTCGAAAGCTCGCAGAGTAGTCTTGGGTGCTCATTAACATTTTTGGCCTTGCACCTTCCTTTCCACTTTGCGGATGGAGGGCTGCTCATTAACATTTTTCGTATCCAGGAAGTCTATCCTTTCCTTTCTTCTCCCCCGTTTGGTGTTTGCTCTTTGCTGCATGATTTCATTTTCGATCCCACATCAATTATCAATTCGCCTTTGGAAAGGAGAGGTGAATCATTTTACGATGTTACATGCAAATGACATTTTCAATCAATGGCAGCATTAGATAGCTAGATCTCCCAAAACTACTTGCATATACTTCGAATGTACCACTGGAAAGACACCTAGTTTTGTGGCACCACCTATGACAATGTTTTGGCTACTCATGCAGCCTGCCAGTGCCCGAGCTGCAAGCGGGTCGTTGAAGTCACATGCTGCCACCAGGCCAATGACATGCTGAGTCCGGGCTCTCGCAAGTCATATCAGTCGTATCCATTCTTGGAAGGTTTGCAAGAGGACATGTGACGAGATTGCGTCGGAC